CAGGCTTGGTGTGTGGTGGAAACATGGCCTTTTTGGCACTTTGCTCCTCTGATCCGGTCAAGGTGACTTCGTGAGCCTGCTGTTGGAACAAAAGGTTCCACACTTTTTCGGGGAATCTGGCATTGAAGAATCTGATGCTTTCTTGCAGCACTGTCGTGAAGGCCTCCATCGCAGTCAGAATCATCTGTCGAGAGGTGTCAGGGATGTCTGTCATGAAAGTTGCCGCCGACACCTTTTGGAGGTAAATATCCATCACTTTCAACGAGACCCATCGGCCTCTGCGCCGCACAACTTCTGCAGATTCTGTCAAGCTAATTAAATATGTAGCCCCTCCGGGCCTGAACGATGCAAGCGTCAGAGGCTTCTGCTGGTTCGTCATCTTAATCGGCAGGCCCAGCTTCAAAAGAACTTTGTCCAGCCTGTGCCTCAGAGTTGATGGAGATCCAGGCCAGATCTTCTCATGAGGCTGTAATCTGCCAATACCAATCCAGGCAACCATGATCAGGTCAGGAGGCTCGAGCTTACTTGATTGGTGCCGAGCCGCTCGAAACCTGGTTTTAGGCTCCAGGATGCGGATGAGGACGTGGTCCACAGAAAATCTGACGTCCTGTGGGAATATCACATCTTTTCTGCGGGCGTTGATGATCTCCCCGCTCCTCAGGAGCATACCCCAGCACATTGCCAATATAGCAGCTTCTCTGGTCCAGCCCCAAATGAGGCAGGTGGATAGAACTGCCAAAAGCAGCTGCACCGGCATCGCGCGGTGATGTTCAACTGGTTCAAAGGAGGACCACATAGCGCATAGATCCCATGCCTGCTGAAGTGACCTTCTGAGGATCGGACGGCGAGCGCTGACTAGGTTAATAGTCTCCGACAGATGATAGTACGGCTTCCCTGCAGAAAAGAGGTAGCGCCCATACCTGGTCAGCACGGCGTTGACCCTGTCCAGATCAGGAGGGTTGGCATGGAAGATCATGTCAAAACTGAGCCCTTCATTTCGGAGCCATCCCTCAAAGGCTGCAGCGAGTTGGCTCCGAATCGAAACTGTCAAAGGAGTCAGCCTTCGTCCATCCGGCAGTTCAAGGCCAGCTCTTTGCCTCTGCCGCTCAGCATCCCCATGGCTCACACCTACCGCCCGGCCTACGTCCATTGAGGCGAGGGTCCAAAGAAAACCAAACCACCGGTAGGGTCCAGGTCCCTCCCCAGGAAAACCCAAAGTCGAGTCAAAATCCAAGGGAAGGGGAGGGTCAAAAGCGACAAGGGGGCCATAGCGCCTAAGCGATGAGTGGTCTGAGAAGAAGCCAGTCCAGCAAGGGCAGAGCAAGATGCAAAGGCGAAGCCAATTTGATGCCCATCTTCGAAGGCCACGGACAGAAGCCAGCCACCTCAGCTCCTCATCGTCAAGGGTCTCAACTGAGGAAGCAATGGGAGGCAAAAGAGCAGCATCTCTGGTAGGATGATCTGCTGGATTGAGTCTTGTAGGAGCGAACCTCCCAGCATGGTAAAGTCCATAGGCGACGGAGATTGTGCTGGCTCTTTTCAGGAGCATCCTGAGGGCTCCTGAAGCACTTCTGCCTCTGATCAGGGCACACAGCGCCACGTTGGAGTCAATAAAGCTCACAAAGCGCAAGTCTCCACCTCTGATAGCCTCAGCCTCAAAAGCCCTGAGGGCAGCTGCCATTTCGAGGATGTTGATATGAGAAGAGCCTCTCCATGACCAACTTGCTGAAACCCTCCAGGAAGCGGAGAGCAATACCTCATTGGACAACTGATCTTCCAGTCCTGGAACCCGCTTCAAGTCAGCAATCTCCTCCTCTACTTTCAAGATGTGGCAGGCAAAAACTCGGGCGAGCGCTGTAGCAAGGCCCGGAGTGTAGGTGGCACTGGGCTTAGTGAACTTGCCTTCAATGCGAACATGCTTGTGGTCTCGGGAACACCTCCTGCTCAAAGACCTGGCATTCATACTCACAACCAATAGAGCAAACTCCTCTGGTGAGGCGAGCCGTAGGCGCAAGAGGCAAGGTGAACCTCATCAGCTCCCAGGACCCGAAGCCGGATCCATTGAGGGGTCCAGCGCAGCTTTGACCTCCTAGGTGTCTCCATCATCCCTGGAGTCTTCGTTCGTTTTCCAACCATCAGCAAGCCCATGCAGGAAAAAGCCATGTCATTGCCATGCACAACTCGGGGATGTCTAGGATCAATGCCCAAAGGCTTCTTGTAAGTCTGAAGACATGGATGAGCTGCAGGACTGAACGTAGTGCAAGGGGGAGCAGCCATAAAAGAGCGAAGGCGCCCTTCTTCACACATGAAAGCCACCCAGGCAAAAACACGTCGGTCTGTGATGTCATACCTCCTGGAGTAGCTCAGGTCAAAAACCGGCCCACACACTGCCCCAAGCTTGGTGAGCTCCTCTGTCACGACACCAGCACCCCCACATAATTCAATGAAGTCATACCTGAGGCCAACTGGCCTGGGTGCACTCTCCTCAGCCCAAGGTAGGTCATCTTTTTGCTCCACCTCCTCAAAATCAGCATGTCTGATACGATGTAGGGCAGCAGTCTTCGTCTGAAGCCTTGGATTCTTTGCCTTCTTTGCCGCAGTCCTCCACAATACTCTTGACAGCTTCTGATCAACTGGGGCCGAAACCAGCCCACCTTTCAAGGATGAGGAGTCAGAGGCATAGACGGTGTCAAAGAAAGGCACTGCAATGTTGGAAGCGAGGGAGAGGGTGTAGAGAGGATCTCTCAGGATCCAAGACTTCCGGAGGTACCACCGAGAAGAGCCTGTTGACATGTGCCATCATCGGCCGCCGATAGAGCAAGGCAGAAATCCAAGATCCCAGCATGGACGAGTGCAAGGAGTCCGAAGTGTAAGGGACTGAGCATCATCAGGCCAAACCTCTTCTCAGCAGGGGCACCCAAGCTGACTAGGCCCTTCTTGACCATCTTCTCTGAGGAATTTACTTCAGCACCAATGACCTTGTAGCGCAGGGAGTCAGCAATCTCCTTGTCGTCTGACCCGAGTATCCCTTCTCGCTTGTATGCCTCACGAGCTCGCTCGAGGAAAGCCCGAGAAGCACTTGGTCCATCACAGGTGTCACCATGGGCATATGCGATCTCCTCCGCAGACAATGCAAAGAAATCATCTATGACCAGGCCGGTAACGGGCTTGTTGTGTAAGATAGGTTGGGAGGCACAAAGTCGGTTGGAGCTAGGGTGACATCCTGACTCCTCCAGCATCCTCTCATGGGCACAGCAAGCAACCTCCACACCAATGTGATCCCCTTGGAACAAGGCACCAAAGCTGGCAAAGACCATGCTAGAATCCTCGGTAGGTACCAGCAAAGGCGTTGGGGCCCCAAGAAAATCGCCTATCTCCTCCCTGTCTCTTCTCCTCGTGCTGAAGTCCCTCTGGAATACCTCATAGGCAGAAGTTCCCTGGAAATCCCCCAAGGAGGAAGGAGGGAAGACTGTGTTCGTAGAGGACCTTTCATAGGTGGTGCTGAACTGGTGATAGAAGTCTCGCCTGTCTGCAATGGCCCCAACCAGGACCTCCTCAAAACGCTTTGTCTCAAGCTGCAGAATGGTATTTGGAATTTCATGAGCGGGGCCACCTTCAATCTGACCCTCAACATAGTTCCTCCCCCGACGGTCGCCTATCTGACGGTCAGCAGCAGGGTTCTTGAAATTTCCAAAAACCTTTGTATGGAGATGACGTTCCTCTTTTCCGGGACCAAGTCTGGCAGGAACGAGCCGTAACAGGTCATTTGCATCCCAAACACGGCAGAGGTCATAGACTTGTCCTGCATCCTCCTCCTTAACTTCAGGGAAAGCACCTCGGGGTGGGACAATATCGAACCTGATCACTTCCGGCTCCACGAAGGGCATGTAGAGAAGGTCAGATAGGAAATTCGAACAGTCCCAATTGCCTCTGCCAGTCAACTTGATCCGAGAGGCATCAAGTGCTCTGTAGGGACGAAACTCATCACAGAGAGAGTTGTCCTCGGGCACCACCACCCCAGCTGCTCCTCTGTGGTACAAAGAGGCTGAGCTCAGCCCCAGAGCATCCAAACTTTCTTTCAACTCTCTCATGCGTGCATCTAATTGAAATCTCTTCCGTCCACATCCAGCAAGAGAAATGAAAGCTGGCGGGCCGCACGCCTCGAAAAACGTCAGGGTGCGAGCATACACTGCTCGATGGCGGGCATCAGGACGTCTCCGGATGAGCCGTAGAATGGACATTGGTTGCCGGAAGTGCTCATAATTCAAAGTCATGACAGTGAGGTGCAAAAGCTTCCTCATAGCATGAGAATGGCGCTTCTTCTTGCTGCTCAAATCCGGGCCATCACCAAAAATACCAACGAAGGGCAGAGGGATGGGAAACAAGGCGGTTGCGATGCTGTCATCACGACCATCGCGGCTGGCTGAAATTGTCTGCATTACGAAATACGAAAACCGAGTCCGAGAGGCAAGGAGCTGTCGTAGAAATTGATGCACCCAGCAAACAAATGGCACCGGTGTCATCAGTGGCCTCACCACAATAGGACTGGCAGAACTTGCATCTAATTGGATCGTGTCATCTGGCCTCGCACCAGGAACAGAAACATTGCCCTGCTTTCCTGATGTGGATCGACCAACAGCTTCATCTGTCAAAAGAACCTCTGGCATGCGCCTGTCATCTTCAAATGGCACACCATCATATCCATAGAGGGGCCCAGCCGGTACCC